TTGTGGCGGGCGCCTGTAGTCCCAGCTACTTGGAAGGCTGAGGCAGGAGACTCGCTTGAGCCTAGGAGTTGGAGGTTGCTGTGAGCTGTGAGGCCATGGCACTCTACCCAGGGGGACAGCTTGAGGCTCCGTCTCAAAAAAAAAAAGAAAGAAAAAAACATAGCTGAATCTGATGGCTCTATGCTTTGGGCAAAATGCATGCAGGTCAGGTCAAAACTCTCCATTTTAATCCTTTTACCAAGGTCAAGGCTTAACTTGCTTTATGGCAGCTGTACTGGCATAAGGAAAAGTGACCCAGAGTTTAAGACTCAACTTTTCTTTCTCCAAAGACTGCTTCCTCCCTGGAGCCTCAAATAGTAACCAGTTTTTCCCATTCCTCAGGCGCTAATTTTCTTGCCCTCAGTGGTCAGTTTAATACTCATCTCCATTTCTCCCCAAAATAGCCATGCGGTGAAGCAAGAAAGGAGAAATATTTAGCCCTCCTTTCCAGTCTTTTTTTTAAGAAACCGAGTCTTACTTTATTGCCCTCAGTAGAGCACTGTGGCATCACAGGTCACAGCAACCTCCAAGTCCTAGGGTTAGGCAATTCTCTTGCCTTGGCCTCTGGAGTAGCTGGGGCTATAGGTGCCTGCCACAACACCTGACTATTTTTCATTGCAGTTTAGCTGGGGCTGGGTTTGAACCTGCCACCTTCGGTATATGGGGCTGGTGCCCTACTCACTGAGCCACAGGCGCTGCCCCTCCTTTCCAGTCCTTTTTGCCCACCAAGAACTGCCCACCCTTGGGCACTGTTTAGAGGGCGCATATAGAGAGACAATAACCCTCACTTTGAATCCATAGCTATAATGAAATCCATGCAAAAGCAGCTAGAGGTGCCGGTCAAGGAGCTTTAACAACTGGTACCATTTATGTAAACCTTCCTCCTCACCTGCATTGAACTCAAACCACTTGGTAAGTTTTCTTTCATTTTTTGAGAGTCTCACTCTGTTGTCCTGGGTGGACTGCCATGGCATCATCATAGCTCACAGTAACCTCCAACTCTTCAACTCAAGTGATCCTCCTGCCTCAGCTTCCCAAGTAGCTGGGACAACAGTCGGCTGCCACAATGCCCAGCTAGTTTTTTCTATTTTTAGAGGAGATAAGGTCTTGCTCTCACTCAGGCTGGTCTCAAACTCCTGAGCTCAAGCAATCTACCCACTTCAGCCTCCCAGAGTGCTAGGATTACAGGCATGAGCTACTGTGCCCAGCCAGTAAGTTATTTTGATCAATGACTCAACTTTTGGGAGTCAGATGGGACTGAGATGCCAGTGAGGGGATAACTGCAGCAGCCTGCCCTCTAGACCCAGAGGGTTTTCCTGGGAGGGAGACACCCTGAAAATGAAATGCTCTTTAACATTAGATAGGCACTGACCTAAGAATGAGTATTTAAGTTGGACACAAATCCTCCCTTCAAGGCATCGAGATTTATTGGAAAACTACATACATATTAAAATACCTTTATACACATTTTCCCCATTATAAGATTACAAATATACAAACATGAGTTCTGTCAAGAGTCAGCATCTTGAGCATCTTAGAAAAAAACGATAGAAAACCCACTACCTGATTTCACCAATTAAATTGGTGTTCCCCACTTCCAGTAATAAGCACAATCTCATCCAGCTTCCCAAGTCCAGCTCCTGACACTGAACCCACAACATAACACATGCAATGTTTACCCAAAGCAGCACTGATGCTCAGATTAGGGGCAGGATGGGGAGGGACCAAAAAATCCCATCCAAAATTCTGACAACCTTATTTTGTGTAGTTCAGGAAACACGGGGATAACGGCAATTCTCTTCAACAATAAATCTGTGGTGGTTTTCTTTCAAAATTAATAATGAAGTACTAAACTGTCCTTTTAGTCAAGGCAATGTACCTAAGCCAGGAGAATGCAATAAATAATGGTTATATGTCTTCTTGCCAATCTGAGAAGGGAGGTCCTTTAGCAACAGTGCTTCAGACTGAGAGTTTGGTCCCAGGAAAGGTCTCTCTGGCTCACCAGACTATCTAATGTGGACAGTGAGTGTAGCCCTTTCTCCTCATTTCCATGCTCCAGAAAATCAGGGTCAAGGTCTTTCTAACTTGGGTACAAGTTTAAATCCTTATTAAGCAGCGAAATTTAATTAGGAACTTGAGGCTGCCTCAGGAGAAAGTACACAGGAAAATGGAAAAGGCAAGAGTAATATAACAACCCATCTGTTGGTTCCTAGGTCCTCCATTTAAGAAGTCTCTCCTTCACTGAATCCTGGTCACTATGGTACAGATCTTACAGGTGCGAAGGAGTCATTATTGTCCTGACTTTCTCTGTTATCTTCTATAATGTCATACTTTCCCCTCGCCTTCCTCTGGCCATCTCTATCACGAGGAGGTATCAATCCAGGAAGATGCTAGCATAAAATGTCAAATGTTTAATGGAGGAAGGGAGACTTCACCCAAGTATTCCACGAGTTGATGTTGTAAACACTGCTCAGAATTATGATTAGTGGCCAACCCAGGAAATAATACTAGCAAAGAAAGAGACGTCCAGAGCACTGTGACAGAAAGAACTGGAATCTCTGTGCACAATCTTAATGCATTGACTATGAAGGGAGAGGGATCATCCGCATGCACATCAATTCCAACTTTCAGTGCCAGGAACTTCTCAAAGCAGTCTCAGCTTAGATGCTGGCCCCATTGATGGTGTTAGCTTTCCAAGTACTTGAAGATGCTTTGTTTCAATCCTGAAGGGCTTTCATCTGTTTTGAGGCGCTTAGGTGAAGGAGATGTCATTAAAGATGGACCCCTTCTTCTTACCTAGAGAGCAGAGAAGGATCAGGGCCAGCTCAAGACCTTCATGTGAGTACTTACCTTCAATTAGCACTTTTTTTTTTTTTCAAAGAGATAGTCTCCCTCTAATGCCCAGGTTAGAGTACAGCGGCCCAATCACAGCTCACAGCAACCTTAAATTCCCAGGTTTAAGTGATATTTTTTTTTTTTGAGATAGAGTCTTACTTTGTTGCCCTTGGTAGAGTGCTATGGCATCACAGCTCATAGCAACTTCAAACTCTTGGGCTCAAGTAATTCTCTTGCCTCAGCCTCCTGAGTAGCTGGGACTATAGACACCTGCCACAGCGTCTGGCTTTTTTTTTTTTTGAGATGGGGTGTCACTCTTGCTCAGGTTGGTCTTGAACTCCTGAGCTCAGGCAATCTACCTGCCTCAGCCTCCCAAAGTGCTAGGATTACAGGTGTGAGCCACTGCGCCCAGCTGGCTAAAGTGATCTTCTTGCCTCAGTCACTGTGTGTCTCAGTGCTGGGACACATTCACCACCATGCCTGGGAATTTCCAAACTATTTTGTAGAGACAGGATCTCACTATATTGCCCAGGCTGGTCTCAAACTCCCGTAGGGCTAGGATCACAAGGGTGAGCCACTATACCCAGCCCAATTAATCCTTAAGCAACTCATTGTTAAATCACAGATGATTAATAACAGGAAAAAAAAAAAAAACAAATTTCCAGGCAAGTTTAAAAGCTAATTACCAAGTATAGAAATTCCCTTTTATCTTAATGGGAATGTAGGATTTTAACTCTGTTGCAAAATTATTAAGCCAGAATTTTTGTTTATATGTCATTCCCCCCCCCCCCAGCACTCCTTACTGGGATTTTTTTTTTTTTTTTTTGAGACAAGAATCTCACTCTGTCACTTGGGCTAGCATGCCATGGCTCAGCCTAGCTCACAGCAACCTCAAACTCCTGCTCAGCTTCCCGAGTCACTGGGACTATGCCTAGCTAATTTTTCTCAGTCCTGCTTTGCTAGGCTGGTCTTAAACTTTTTTTTTTTTTTTTTTGTAGAGACAGAGTTTCACTTTATCGCCCTCGGTAGAGTGCTATAGCGTCACACTGCTCACAGCAACCTCCAACTCCTGGGCTTAGGTGATTCTCTTGCCTCAGCCTCCCAAGAAGCTGGGACTACAGGTGCCCACCACAACGCCTGGCTATTTTTTTTTGCACCGCCCTGGTCTTAAACTCTTGACCTGAAGTGATGCTCCCACCTTTGCCTCCCAGAGTACTAGGATTAAGAATTTTTGTTTTTGAATTAAATAAATAAATAAATTCTGGTTCAGGGAGCCACCAAATTAATTAAGTTCCCCACCTGAGGCTTAGACGATTCCTTTGCCACCTCTGCCTTGACAGGAGAAAGTGTATGAAAGACAAAATTTCTTGAATTTCGAGGAGCACTGGGATTGGGGTCAGAAAGGGCAGCCAGTTTCTGAAGCACAGCTTTGGGCTGGTTTAGCAACGAACCTGTCTTCAGCTGAGGAAAAGAGAGTCATCTGGTATCAAATCCTAAGTACCAAGGAAAGAATGAAAATTCCTTCCCTCCCTGCTCCCCCCCAGGTATTGAGGGGCCATATTACTACCTTCCTCAAGTAGAAAGGAAATAGCAGTTTCCTTACTTGCATTTTCTGTAGCCACCTCCCTCCTCCTCTAATAACAGAAACTATTCCCTTAACCTGACCTGGCCCTTTACAACCTACAGACCATGACTTCAGAATATCTAGGTCCCCAACTAACCTGATGAGTACTTCCTGGTCTGATGGCTTCAAAAGGGTTTCCGAGTAAAGACTTTGATTCCTGAATAACCACAGGGCAACTGGCTGGAAAGAAAAGACAGAAAGGCCTGTTCTGGGCAAAACTGGTTAGAACAGAGAGGCCTATTCTGGGCAAAGCTAAGGAAACCTTATAACTAAACCCATAAGCTAAAGCCATAGGAACTCTGATTATTTTATAGTCGCAACTTTGGAACTATAGTAAGTGGCTCAGAGAAGATAAGACAACTAAGTTGAACTTACTGATTAACCATTAACAGTAATAGTTTAAGAAAAAACAGAAGTGGTAAATGCATGGACTAGTGTTTCCATGATCTTCCTAGACCTTCATTTCTAGACTTGAATATTCCTAGGTTCAAATCACAGCTCTAACGCTTGAGTTTATAATCCCGGGTGACTAAACAGAGAAGCCAGAATTCACCACACAGAGCCTTAGAACATGAAACAACATTGTGTACGTTCACAACCTCCACTGCCCAGTAGTCTAAGATCCAAGCAAACTGTCTCTCCCTATCTCTGTGTGGCCTCTTTAAGACAGTATTAGACGTAAGCTTCTGACTAAGCTACAACAGTCCCGGAAGTTTAGAGTCACCTTCAAGCCTCTAGCACTGACAATCCATGAGGCTAGATCCTGATGTGAAAAAAGAGCTCACCATTCTTCTGCAGTGCTTTGGCTGTAACTTTTTTGGCAATCATCATGAACTGACTGTCTTCCCCAATTTCTTCCTCTTCTTCAGCTGTAATTTTCCCTTGCTGTGCCTGAAAATAAAAATCATACAGCATTGGCTCGGCGCCTATAGCTCAACCGGCTAAGGCGCCAGCCACGTACACCTAAGGTGGCGGGTTCGAATCCCCAGCCCGGACC